GTTCCGTGTGTCCAATCTATTCTTGAGATGGTCTCTAAATTCAGGTGGGATATACTCAAGGTCATACTTTGGCTGTTGTAGACATGTTTTAGTTTCCTTCAACTTCAGCTCGAACTTGCATATGAGTAATTGATGATCTGTTCTGCAGTTGACCCCTGGCCTTGTTCTCATTTATGATACTGAGCTTTTCCATCATCTCTTTCCACAGATGTAGTGGATTTGATTCCTATATATTCCATCTGGTGAGATCCGTGTGTATAGTTGCTGTCTATGTTGTTGGAAAAAGGTATTTACAATGAAGAAGTTGATGGTCTTGCAAAATTCTGTGATGCAATCTCTGGTGTCTTTTCTATCACCAAGGTCATGTATTCCAACTATCGATCCTTTTTCGTTTCCAACTTTCACATTCCAGCCCCCAGTAATTATCAATGCACCTTGATTGCATGTTTGATCAATTTAGACTGCAAAAGTTGGTAAAAATCTTCAATTTCCTCATCTTTGGCCTTAGTGGTTGGTGTGTAAATTTGAATAATGGTCGTGTTAACTGGTTTTCCCATAGCCTTGTGGGTATTACCCTGTCACTGACAACGTTGTACTTCAGGATAGATCTTGAAATGTTCTTTTTGACGATGAATGGGTCTTCATTCCTCTTCAAGTTGCCCTTCACAGTGTAGTAGACCATGTGATTGTCTAATTCAAAATGGCCAGTACCAGTCCATTTCAGGTCAACTAATGCCTACGATATTGATCTTTATGCATTCCATTTCCTTTTTGACGACTTCCAATTTTCCTAGATTCATACTATGTACATTCCATATTCCGATAATTATTGAATGTTTGCAGCTGTTTCTTCTCAGTTTGAGTCATGCCACATCAGCAGATGAAGGTCCTGAAAGCTTGACTCAATCCATGTCATTAAAGTCAACTCTACTCTGAGGAAGCAGCTCTTCCCCAGTTGTATTTTAAGTGCCTTCCAACCTTAGGGACTCATCTGCTGGCACTACATCAGACAATGTTCTGTTGTTATTCATAAGGTTTTCATTGGCCAGTTTTTTCAGAAGTAGACTGCGGGGTTCTTCTTTCTGGTTTGTCTTAATCTGGAAGCTCCACTGAAATCTGTCCATCAGGGGTGACCCTCCTGGTATCTGAAATACCATTGGCAAAGCTTCCAGTATCACAGCAACACACAAGCTACCCACAGTATGAAAAACTGACGGACACGTGGTGGCCACTTAGTTTTTAATCTAATTTTAAGGTATTTTCCCTTAATTCCTTCCTAATTACCATTTAATTTTTATAAAGAAGTCTGAAAAGCAGAATATCTTCACACCTTTTTGTATACTTTCAGAGCCATCCTTGCCAGACATTTGCACAAGAAATATTTCTTAGCCATCCTGTGTGTCACAGAGAAAGTATGTTAAGGTGATAGTTCAGTTTTGCTGTTTTGCCAAGTATTAACTTCTCATTTTATTAATCTGTGTATTTGGTTATATGAAATTTCTAATTCCACCATTCAGATGACTAACTTAGTATTTTTGTCTTAGAAAGCTGCTGATTTTTAAAACCATTTTCATCTTTCAATCCAATTCCTAGTTTTCAGTATAAATAATAGATGAATTTGACTTCCTGGGACACTGAGTTAAATAATCATGATTCTATGTAATATAAGTCTCAAGGTAGTGAAATATGTGAGAATTCAATGAAAACAAGCTCCTGATGGTAGTCTTTATATTGGGACTTAACATTTTAAGTAGTATATATGTTTTTAAAGGAGCCCTGGTGGCCCAGTGGTTAAAAGTTCATCTAACCAAAAGGTTGGCAGTTCAAACCCACCAGCTGCTCCTTGGAAACCCTATTGGGCATTTCTGCTGTGTCCTGTAGGGTGACTATCAGTCAGCATTGACTTGATGCAATGGGGTTTTTAAAAAAAGAAAAAAATTTTTTTTTAATGGTCTTAAAAGGAGCAGTTAGAATTGCCATTCTTATTATTTGTATTTCATATCATAAAGTTCGCTTGAAAAGTATTACCTGTTATTGGTTATTGTTCTTCGTACTGGTATGTATTCTGTACATTTTTTTTTTTTTTTATCTAAATGGGACTGTTTTGTCTTCTTTGCCTACTAATTATATAGTCATTCTTCTAAATGATGTCGTTTGATTGTCACAAGGGTTTAACCAAAACCAAACCAAACCTGTTGCCATTGAGTCGATCCCGACTCATAGTGACCCTGTAGGACAGAGTAGAACTGCCCCATAGGATTTCCAAGAAGTGGCTGGTGGATTCCAACTGCTGACTGTTGGTTAGCAGCTGAGCTCTTAACCACTGCACCACCAGTGTTCCACAGGGGTTTAGGTAGGTATTATTATTTGTCAGTACTAACAGGAGTAGCTTTTCTCTGTGCTGCTGAAGTTTTGGACTCTGGTGTTGCCCTTTGTGTTTGTTATGTTGGGTATTTTATAACTTTATTTCTGAATATGTAAAATTGAAGATTCCATCTGTCCATTGTGCTTCTAGTCAGTCAAGTGGTACATCTTGTTGTATGGTTACAAAATCCAAGACTTATGGAAAAGGGGAAGGGGACACTAAAGTGCGTAATACAGTTTCTAAATTGAGAATGATTGAGACTGATGGCAAGGTAATTGATCCCTGTTTTTCTTGAATTGGGGAGACAGACGCACAGGGGGTGGGGTGTAATCTAAGCCATCCACAGGTGTCCATTGAATTGATTTCACATAGTCAGGGTTCCACACAGGGGTGTATTTGCAAATGGATAGAAAAGTGAGTACTGTCACTGATCACCTGAAATCCCTAATTGCCAATCTCAGTCCCCAAAACAGGAACCTATAGATGCCTGGACATCCTCTCAGATATTGCTGTGACAGATTTGATGTTAGTGACTCCCTCTTGACCATGGCCTGCCTACTGTTGATTCCCCTGACCTCTGTAGCTTACATACGACATGGAAGCCAAGTGTATGTGAATTGGGCATCAAAGCACCATCTGAACAAACAAGATGAATATCAGGCTAAAGTTGTTTTTCCAAGACATTTTCCTCAGAAGTAGTGTTCTGCACTTTACCAGCCCATCTCTTCCAGGGAGGTACCATTGCCTCAGTTAGCTCCTTGAAGGGAGAGTATCACCCTTGATCCATTCCTTTGTTTTTCTTCATGAAGCAAACATCAGTAACAGTGTAAGAAAATAGGAAACCTTCTACTGATGATTTCAAACTTTTATTCCTTCCGTTAGTCAAAGATTGAATTTCAACCTAAAATATTTTTATATTTCCCATGATCCTCATTTTTAACACTCCTAAGGCAAGATAATTAAAATAACTTAGGATTCTATAAATAACTAATAATGAAAGCAGTGATATAGTTAATAGTATTGGATTCAGAGAGACAAAGAAAACAATTAGAGGGGTGGTTGACTTGCATTCGGTGTGAGCAAGGATGAATTGTCCCTGGATAGCAGAAGGGCAAGCAGGAAGACTGGTAGCAGCTGATATGCTGAGATGGGCAAGCATGTGCTGCATCTGGGCTCCTGGGGCTGGACTCCTTGGGTTGGGGAGGTATGTGCGTGTTGACCTGCAGTAATAGACAAGCCTGCAAACCTCACTGGTGCACTTAATGCTGTGCTTGGGAATTCAGATTTTATTCTTAAAGCAGAACAGTGTCATTAAACCTTACTGAACTAAAAAAATGAAAGATTACAAGATTTTTGAGGGAGATTAAAGTAATAGCTATAAAGATGGATTGGTGCTAGAAGAGACTGCAGGCGGGGAAATTAGTTAGCCTTGTTATTCTGGAATTCAAGGTCTGACATTGAAGCTGGAAGGATGCTGGCAGGAGAAGCTTACACAGGAGACATTTTAGAGGAAGAATTAACTGGGGGTGGTGACACTGGATTTCTAGGAGTGGAGGGGCAGGGAGACATCAGGAAATGTCGACTGTGAATTCAGGAATATGGATGAATAGTAGTATTGTTGATAGTGACAGAACGTCTGTTCGCTGTTGAATGTGAAGTTGGTTTAGGCATGTTGAATACAAGATGTTGCCTGAGCTTTCAAATCATAATGCCTGTCAGTCTTAGACTCTATGAAGCTTGGGGCTTGAGATTACTAAGACTTCAGAATTAATTTGCCTGGAGATGATTATTGTATCTCCAAGATATTGAGAGATTTATTCTGTCAACACTATTCAGTCAACCAGTCTGTGGCCGGGTATGTTAAGGATTGTCAGTATATATCCGTTCAATCTTTGAGACTATTTCCATGTTGTCATTTGAGTGATGACTGCCCCAATGCATAGAGTGTTGACCTAGACCTAATTTAAACATATGTGAAGTCTATATAGGAAACTTGTTATATAAAAGACTTCAATAACTGTGTATTCATGAGAGTCAAGGTCCTAATGGATTAAAAATAATCTTTACTTTGAAATTCTCACCTAAACACAGTGGATAGGATTGTGGTGGTGGTGGTGGTGAGGTATTATAGGTGATGTGATGCAGACGAGACTGTTCATTTACACCTAAATTAATTTTTGGTTACCTTGTGAGCATATGTGTGTTGATAAGCATGAATGTGATTAAAATCTTTCATGGAGAAACTTTATCTTCCTCCATTGGTTAAAGTGTTCTAATCACATATTTGTTGCCTGCTTTCGTTCCTTGCCCACCCGGGTTTATCAGCCTAACAGACCTTTCAGATTTCAGCTCATTTCAAATGTGCACGCTTCCCTTTTAGTTCTGGTGCGCGGTTCCCTGTGAACTCTACAAAGCATGTTTCCATCTTTCCCATTTATAAGTGTGAATATATAGGTTGCTGCCTCCATTCAGAAGAAATTGGGTCTATCACTCACGGAATGTTTGAAAATGTAAAACATTATCCTCAATTATGTAGTGAATAAATATTCACGTCTGGTCCATTCAGGGGTTGACTAGATGTGGTTGCTGTGGAGCTACTGCAATGCTTAAAGCACTCCAACCCATTGTGTTTCAGTGCACCTGCAGGAAAGACATGGTGAAGATTTCAATGGATATCTTCGTGAAGAAATTTCAGCCAGACAGATACCAGCTTTGGAAGCAAGGAAAGGATATCTACACCATTGATCACACGAAGCCTACTCCGGAATCCACCCCTGAAGTCAAGGCATGGCTGCAGAGGAGGAGGAAAGTCAGAAAAGTGCCCAAGAGGTAGTGACCCCTCCCCAGGCCATCCGCCATTAGCACGCTGCGCTTGCTCAGATAAAATCTGTCATTGAACAGGATGTTCCCAAAGGCAACCCGTTTGCTTTTCTCTACTTATTCATCATATCTTTACTTGATATTTTACTGAAAGTCTGAGGCAAAGTATTTTCATTTCTTGAGAAATATAATATGTAGTTGTAGGAAGAAGCATATATTGTGTTTGAGAATGGAGTATTTCTGAAGTTGCTATACGTGGCAAACAACAATTCTAGAGCTCCTTAGACCTTTTACTGTAATGTATTTAAAATCATGTTGGTTCTCACCATTCACTGCCATATTTCTGTCAACTTCAGTAACGCGATTTCCACCTTTTTTGTTCTGCTAGTGATTTTCTCTCTACGTGAGCAGTTTTTGTCTTCATTTGTCAAACATCTGAGATATTTTTCTCATTTGGATGGCCATATTTTACCACATTTTATACACTCGATTTTATTCTTTGACACCTTGTAAAGGAGAGCATGTGGTGTTCTGTAGCATGGTGTCCCTGTGAATGCTATTTGGCATTCCATTTCTGTGGCAGTGCCCTTTCCAGAAGGTTTTAGGCCTGCTGTGGGCATCTTGCTGCTTAAAAACCCATTGAATGGGGCATGTGTTGGGTTGCACAGGTCCTCAGGCTGCCTTTTATTTTAGGCAGTTACATTTTCCAGTTTGTTACATTTTTTCTCTCCAGTATTACTCCTTGTTTTTATTTCAGATTATAAAAGTGATATTTGTGCATTGGAGAGTTTGTAAAATAAGGAAATGAATAATGAAGGCATTCCAAATCACCCATAACCTTGCTATCTAGAGATGACCAATGTTAACATTTTGTATTTATCCTTTACATATGTATTTGCTGTTTATTATATAAAATTATGCCCCTTTCCAGAACTGGGGCCATGCTCTATTAACAATTTGATGACCTGTTTTTTGAGTGTACTTTCATGTAATTAAGTGATTTGCTACAACGTAATTTTTAATGCCTGTATGTATTTAACCAGCACCTGTATTTGGATCTGTAGCTTGTTTCCCTTTTTTTTGGTGTTAACTCAGTAGCACTGATTCTAAAACTTTGCCACACTCTGACACTTGTTTTTTGACTTTTTTCCCCCTGACATTTATTTTGTGTTGTTTTAGAATGGTAATGAACAGAGGACCTTTAAGAACATGGAGTCACATTTCCACAGTTTGTAGGAGATTTATCACCAAGAAACAGTTTCTGAGGGACAGAACTAGTTAGCAGCAGAACTAAAGCTCAGCTGTTCGTATTTCACCCTATAGTTTACATCAGTGATTTTTAAACAGTTTTCAAATCAACTTAGTGGATCAGGACCGACATTTTTAAATTAGGAAGTAAATTAGAGTAAAAAGTATCATACTGCATCCGATGTGGTAAGGATAAGTACTACTTCATGACACGTGTGAGCATGTGTGCATGCGTGTATTGTGTCACCATCTAAAATGTACATCTTACTATGGGTTGTATTAAAAAAGGTTTGAGAAACACAGGTTTAGAGGGTCAGTGCCTTTGACAGATGTCTTAATACACCTTACCAAAGAATTGAGCTTTAGGAGGAAGGGCACTCAGTCCTGAGTTCAGAAGAAAACCAGCAGAACGTCTTGAGAATTGCTCTCTAATGGACAGAAGTCACAATGCTCTAACTAGGTGTATGATCTGGTCTCCTAGTTATTAACCACAGTGGTCCTCTGACTTGACAGAGAACATAGATCTATGACAATTCACGGATTTGAAATGGCTTTTCAGTAGCTTAAAATAATCAGTGGACTTTGCTGATAGCAGCGCTCACCTAATTAGAAAGCCTAATGTTAAGGGGCTTGTTTAATTTGCCCAGTCTTGTGGCTTGACCATACAGATTGCAGATCTCCCTTAAGTAATACTCTGTCTAGGGAAATCTAATGGAAGGAATGATCCATTGAAATCTAAAAGAGATGCCAGCTATCTTGCTTCACCTGCCCTGGTGGCACAGTGGTTAAGCCCTCAGCTGCTAACCAAAAGGTCAGTGGTTCAAACCCAGCAGCCACTCCAAGGGAGAAAAATGTGGCAGTCTGCTTCTGTAAAGATTACAGCCTTGAATCCCTGTGGGGCAGTTCTGCTCTGTCCTGTAGGGTTGCTATGAATCGGAATCAACTCGACTGCCATGGATTTGGATTTTTGGTATTATGCTCTAGTACATCATGGGGCAGAGATTTTCCGCATAGATTCTCATTCAAAGTGATGATGGTAATGCTGCCACTGATACTACTGCTGTTACCATCAGCAGCAGCAGCAGCAGCAGCAGCAGCAGCAGCTGTCAATGCTAATTTACACAGCTCATCCCTGACTAACATCTCATCTCTGATCTCTTTCCTCCCTGACTTCCTACAGCGCTTAGTGCTGTGGTGTTTCCTTGTGTGTGTGTATTACATGGGGGTTGTGTGTTTATATGTGTTTTGGACACTGAAACACATGTTGCTTTGATTTGTTTTGTATGGTTCCTACATGAGAGTATTAGAAGTGTTGTGCCACGTACAAAAAGGCATCTATGACAAAGCTGTCAAGTGACTGACTGGCTAGAAAATACTAAAAGAGGAAAAACTAAAAATGGTACCCACTCTGAAGATAACAAGTTGATATTAAATGTTGAATACATACAGTTAACCTTCCTCTTCTCCTAATTCCTTTAGCTATTGATGATTTGGCATTTACTCTAATGATTTCACACATGCTTGAGAATTATACAGAAGGGAAGAAAAAGTAGTCAGTAGTTCACCTTGCAATGTAAATAACTTACTCAGATTTTAACAACAGCTTTATGGGTTCTTCCTTTTCCTTTCTTCATTGTCCAAATTGCATTTAATTTACTGATTTTATTTTCTCTCCATGTCATCAATTTTTACCACAGACTTCTTTTAATGTTGTTATAAAATTTTAGCAGTGACTTTTTTTTTAAAGTAATGTTTAATAATCAAGTATTTACAGTTATTTCAATTTTACTTTTTGGTAACTTGCTTTTAAAACTGTTAAGATTTCAACGTCAAATGCATTGCATCAGTTGTGAAGATTGCCTTTGCAAAATGATTAAAACACTGTCAGTTTTGTTTTTTTTTTAATTTTTTTTATTGTATTTCAGGTGAAGGCTTACAGAACAAATAGTTTCTCATGAAACAGTAGTGCACATATTGTTTTAAGACATTGGTTAACAACCCCACAACATGTCAACCCTCTCCCTTCTCGAC